GTAGTGCCGTTATACTCCAGCACCGACACGCATTCGTAATCAGTACCCATTAGCATTCCCGATTTTGTCACATGCATAAGATCCGACATTCATTCGCGCTGTTACATTAGTATCGCAACATTCCACTGCGCCTTGCGAACCGTTGTTGAGCAGTAGGTGAAAGATTCGACTCTGGCAGTACGACAACCAGTCCTTCTGTGACTGTCAATTCGTTTCGATGGTAAGTTGGTGCTGGCATATGCCAAGGAATCAAAGCCATCGTCAGATAGTTTGTAAACTATCTTCGAAAGAGATAGCCATCGATATTTTACCACCGAGTAGTTGCTTTTGGCATTTGCAGCCACTTAAGCTGTTTCCCGGGTCCATCCGCTCTCTGTGTAGGACGGATATGGCGAGAGTTTTCGACTTTTGACTTTGACATTAGTATTGCGGGCGCCTTCATTTCTGTCGATTCTGGAAATCAGTCACTCTTCCACATTCGTCCTATTGTTATAGCTGCCGTCGTTTTTGTTTTTAGAATTGAATTATTCCCTCTCCCCTCCCCCCCTTCTCCCCCGCCCCCTCCCTTCCGCCCACCTCCTCGCCCCCACCTCCTTGCCCCCTCCTCTCTTCGGCGCAAAAAAAAAACTGGCTCTGTTTTCAGAAATTACATAGTAATTTTGTAAGTAAAATGTTGTTTAGGACAAAATGCACTGAATGCGGCTTGATGACGGTGAAGCCGTCGTTACTTATACGCCACATGCAGCGTGTGCACCGGCAGAGCAGCTTTTCGGCTGTTATCGAAGTAAGAGGTATGCCTGACATAAGAGTGGATATGGATCGTGGAAGAGTTACCTGGTGGTGTTGCGATCTTGCATTTGAAGACAGGTTTGCTTTAATGTATTTTGAAATTGGTGAAAAGAATCAGTGCCGAAGTTAGCTTTATTGTGTTTGGTTCAGCGACACATTTGTCACTTCTGCACTAATTTTTTAATTAACGCTCTTATTTGTCACTGTACTGTTTATGTAGCTGGCAGTCTATTCGCTATTGCTTTGACCAAAGTTGCAAAATGAAGCCATTTTGGTAGAGGCCTTAGTTTGATAGTGTTTATTTTTTCTGTTTTCTGTCTTGATTCCGAAGATATCACCCATTTTCTGCTGCTAGTTTCGTTTTTCGGCTTGCCTACTATGGCAGTCATGCTCCTTCGCTGAAAAACGGGGTGTGAGGAGGTGACTTGCAGGAATTTTCTTGGATATTCCAGGCACCGCGCTAGATTTTACAGTTTATAGCAAATAGCAAATTGTTTTTCCTCCTTCCTAACTCATTTTCTGTAAACAAGTGGCATTTTCACGATCGTTTCAAGGAGAAAAAGTAGAATTGAGGATTCCAGAGCTTATTTCCTTTCAGACATCGTTTTATCCATCACAGAAGGTCATTTCATAATCCATTCCTTGAAAATTACTCTTGGCCAGTTGATGGTGATGGACAGCCTGTAATAGCCGCAGAAGAGGCAGCTGGTGGAGAAGCTGTTGGCGAGGCGCAGATCGTAAAGCTGATTAATCCGGATGGCACTGAAAGCGATGAATTTTATTTGTTGATGCCAAAGAGCAGTAACTCTGGTATTGTTACATACTTTCTGTACTTTTAAATGATTTACTAGGAAATTATTGGTGTTATCATGATGGCTTGGACAGTCGGTCTGGAATCTGTTGTTCGTACGCCTGGCAGAGCTGCATCCCAGCGCCGGTGCCACTGGGATGTACTCGTATGCTGAGCTTGGCTGTGCCAGGCTCTTTGGTTCTAGGCATGGATTTCGAGTTCATTACCCACTGTTTGTACTTTGTATTTATCCCGCCTCTGCTGGGAAATGCTCCTCAAAACTTTAAAAAAAATGTATTACTGTATGCGAAGTAATGTAATATTGAGTGTAATCCGCGCGAGATCCGAATAGTCGACTGACTTTATGTAAGAGACTGTGTAAATTGACTTGTCACTCGAAAGATTTTGAAAAGTGACTTCTCTGTAGAAGAGATTCGCCATTAAAAAAAGCCAAAGCACTCCATTTCGCAATACAGTGAGCTCAGTTTCAGCGTGCGTGAGATTCACAGTCTCAGTTTTGCTGTACATGAAGCTCAGTTCTTTCACCACTCTTAAAATAGCTATGCTCACTTTTGCGATAGTTTGGGTATATTCGTTTCCCGTGCCTCCAATTAACATTCCTGGTTCTCCAAGATGAACTAGCCAATTTAAGTCCAGAAATGGCGTTCGAAATTTCTATCGAG